TCTTTCTAACTTGAGGTCTGATGTCATTCCTCTGAAACCTTTCAAGCATATCCCTTTACCATTCAGAGAACCTGAGCTCTCTAAAATCGTATGTAACAACTCTTCACGCTCTACATTGCCCTGTTGCTTCTGTACCCTTTTTCCATGTTATTGAAGTATATTCTTTTTCCCTAATGGTATTTCTCTGTACCTTTGCTCATACCATTCACTCTCCCTTTGGGTATTTATATCATTCAAGCTCCCCGTTAGTTTTTATAGTCTTCCTGAAGATCATATCAGGATAATTCTGTGCAGTCGCAAAAATGGCATAAGACAATTAGATGAGGTATTAAATAGGATGAGAGATAACCTTGCTTAACTTAAATGTGCCATGTGCTACCAGTTTTGAGTAATTCTAATCATTTTTTAAGCAACTTTGAGATTTTATACACTATACAGTTGACCCATCTAAAGTACACAATTCAGTGATTTGGATATGTTGACAGTACAACCATCAACACAATCCATTTTATTTTTTTTATTTTTTTTCACAATCCATTTTAGAACATTGTCATCACCCCAAAAGGAAACCACATAATCCTGTAACTCTGTTACCCCTCCCCCTTACCCCAGGATATTACTAATCTGTCTATCTCTATGAATTTGCCTATTCTGGACATTTCATATAAATGGAATCATAGGATACATGGTCTTCTGCGACTGGCTTCTTTTACTTTGTGTAATATTGTCAAGATTCATGACATGGCATATATTAATACTTCATTGTTTTTTCTTGACAAAGAATATGCCATTGTATGGACATTTGACCCACTCATCAGTTGATGGACATTTGGATGGTTTCCACTTTTCAGATACTATGAATAATGCTGCTCTGAACATTTATGTGTAAGATCTTGTAGTTCATTTCATTTCTCTTGGGTATATACCTAGCAGTGGAATTGCTGCATCATATAGAATCTCTATGCTTCGTATTTTGCAGAACTGTCAAATTTTTTTCCAAAGCATCTGCACCATTTTACATTCCCACTAGCATTGTGGGAAGGTTCCAGTTTCTTCACATCCTCACCAACACTTTTATCATCAGCCTTCTTAATTTTAGACATTATAATAGTTACCAAATATTATCTCATTTGGTTTTTATTTGTATTTCTGTAATGCAAATGTTGTGCATCTTTTTGTATGCTTGTTGGCCATTCTTTAGAGAATGTCCATTGAAATCCTTTGCCCATTTATTTAAAATACTTCTTTAAATTTGAAGACTTAAATTTTATAGAGCAGCTTCATGTTGACATCAAAATTCAGAGGAAGATAGAGATTTCTTACATGTGCTCTATCCCTACACATGCACAGCCTCCCCCATTATCCGCATCCTCCACCAGAGTGGACCATTTGTTGCAGCTGATGAACCTGTGTTAACACAACTGCCCATAGTCCATAGTTTACCTGAGGTTAAATCCTGTTTGAATTAGGACAAATATATAATATGCGTGTATCATTATACCATTTTACAGAGTATTTCCACTGCCTCTGTGCTCTGCTTACTTATTCTTCTCCTTATCCTAGCCTCTCTGGCAACTACTGATCTTTTTTTTATTAATGTCTCTAGTTTTGCCTTTTCCAGAATGTCTTCTAGTTGGAATCATATAGTATGCAGCCTTTTCATATTCCTTGCGCATTTTTAAATCAGATTGGTTTTTTTTTGTTGAGTTTTAGCGGTCATTTATATATCCTGGATATACATTTATCAGATAGATGATTTGCAAATATTTTCTTCTATTCTCTGGATTACCTTTTCACTCTCTTGGTGTATACCCTTTGAGGTACAAGGTTTTAAATTTTAATATAGTCCAGTTTTTTTTTTGTTTTTTTTTTTGTTTTTTTTTTTGCCTGTGCTTTTGGTAGCATAGCCAAAAAAAAAAAATTATAGAATCCAATGTCTCGAAACTTCTTGCTGTTTTCTTTTAGGATGTTTATTGTTTTAGATCTTACATTTAGGTCTTGGTCCATTTTGCTTTAATTTTTGTATATGGGGTAGGGTACAAATCTTTGACTCCTTTCTTTTCTTTCTTTCTTTCTTTTTTTTTTTTTTTTTTTGCTTGGTGGATATCCAGTTTTCCCAGCACCATTTGTTGGAATTTTTCCTTTAGAATGGTCTTGGCACCCTTATTGAAAATCATTTTACCATATATGTGAGAGTTTATTTCTGGACACTCTTATCATGTTCCATTGGTTTATGTGTCTTTATGTCATTACCGCAGTTTTGATTACTATAGCTTTGAGGTAAGTTTTGAAATTAGGCAGTGTGAGATCTCCATCTTATCCCCCCCCCCCCCCCCCCCGCCAAGTACTGATTGGCTTTTCAGGGTCCCTTGAGATTCCATAGGAATTGAAAGGTATTGCAATGAATTTATAGATTGTTTTGGGTGGTTTGCACATCTTAATATAAATTTTAAATCTTACTACCTGTGTGCACTAGCCGCCTTGCTTTTATGCTATTTTTAATTCCCTTCAGCCATGTCTTAAAGGTTTAGGGTCCAAGTCTTTTTGCCTTCATGGTTGAGTTTATTGCTAAGCATTTTATTTCTTTTGATGCCACTGTAAATGGAATTATTTTTCTTAGTTTTCCAATTATTCATTTTATCTTTGCCTATTTTTAAATTGGATTGTCTTCTATTGAGTTGTAAAAGTGGTTTATTCTGGATACAAGTCCTATCTGATATATGATTTATAAATATTTTCTATCACTCTGTAGGTTGTTTTACATTCTTTTCTAGTACAAAAACACTTCCCCCAAAATGCTACCCTTAAGATGATAGGAAATGCTAAGATTTTATTAGAATTCATTTTATTAAAATATTAGACAATAATTTTTCTATTTTTAAATGTAATATATTTTATAGAATAGTAGTTAGCTGTATTATAGTAATGCATTATATAGACAACTACATAAATACTATATCCTGGAAAATACATGATATATTAGAAAATGGGGGTATCACACAAGCAACTGTCATATAAGCAAAATTATATTTTAAAAAACAGCTTCAGGGGGATCCCTGGATGGCTTGGTGGTTTAGCGCCTGCCTTTGGCCCAGGGCATGATCTTGGAGTCCCGGGATCGAGTCCTGTGTTGGGCTCCCGGCATGGGGCCTGCTTCTCCCCCTGCCTGTGTCTCTGCCCCTCTCTCTCTCTCTCTCTCTATCATGAATAAATAAATAAATCTTTTTTTTTTTTTTTTTTTTTTTTAAACAGCTTCAGGGGAGCCTGGGTGGCTCTGTCAGGATCTGAATCTTGGTTTCGTCTCAGGCCGTGATTTCTCATGGGTTGTGAGATTAAGCTCCACATCGGGCTCCAGATTCCATGGGGGAGTCTGCTTGAAGATTTTCTCCTTCTGCCCCTCCGTCAACTCATGCTTTCTCTCTCTGTCTCTCTCTCTCTGTCTCTGTCTCTCTCAAATGAATAAATATTTTTAAAAAAAGTCTCAAACTTATGCATAAGAAAAAGGATTACAAAGTAATACACCAAAATGTTTATAGTGGTTATGTAGTGACTAGGACGATGAGTATTTTGTTTTCTACTTATTTTGTGCTTTTTAGATGTATTCAAGCATTTCTTAGTACAAAAAATTTATGAAAAGAATATAGGAAATTTTTTTAACCAAAAGGAAAAATGTAACTCATGGATAAACATAACATGTAATGACACAGGATATCACTCTGTATATATCCGTGCACAATCAGCCTGACCATTAGAATAGCACTGTTTCATGTTGCCCTCATGTAGAATGAAAGAGGACGTGTTGCCACCATCCTCTCTGTGGGTGCTATACATTCCAGTAACATTAAACATCAAATCTCTAATATGCTTCTGCAAATTTGCATTGTTCTGCATTTCTCCTGCCCTGTTGTATAAATGAACTGTACCAGTGGTACTGGACTTACATATGTTACCAATTAGTTTGAAATTCCTAAAAGCAGTTAACTGCTTAGAGTAAATGTGAATGATGATTTGTTGTTGAATACTTTTTTAGGAGATTGTTTGCTTCATTACAAGCCATTCCTTTGGTGGTGTATCCTATCAGTCTATATCAGTCACATTAGAAGATGATCTGTATCTTATACACGTCAATTAAAAACCTAGGTCTGTGGGGCAGTTTTTTTTTTCCCAACAGGGGTTATATGAATAATGTTAAATGAATGTGTTACCTGCTATAATTTTAACAATGTCTTTGTTAACTTATACATTTAGTTTAACCACATGAATCAATTTGGTAGAACAATCACATGATTACTTAAAAAATCAGTTATAGAAGTTTGTGTCAATTGTGGATTGGCAATTGTTTAGGCAAGCTTCAGTTATTACAGTTAGTTGAACTGTAATACTGTTGATTCTTGAATAACACAGGTGAAGGGGCACTGAGCCCCGCACAGATGAGAATTTACATGTAACTTTGACTCTCCCAAAACTTAACTACTAAGAGCCTGCTGTTGATTAACACACACAGTTAATCAACACATATTTTGTATGTTATATGTGTTATATACTTTATTCTTAGAGTAAAGGAAGCTAGAGAAAAGACAGTACTAAGAAAATACTAAGGAGAAAATACATTTACAGTAGTGTGTTGTATTTATTTAGAAAATGTGCATCTGAGTGGACCTGCACTATTCAATTGTGTGTTCTGCAAGGATGGGCTGCGGTGAGCTTCTTGTAGTTAGTGTAGTCCCTTACTGTATACATAATTGATGTGCTACATGGATTCCTGTGGTACTGGTGGCGATTATAGAAGCTTAGCAGTAATTAGTAATTAAGAAAAGGGATATCATACAATAAAGTTTTAGTTTAATCGCTAAAAACAGTTTCTCTGCTTTTTTTTAGGAATTGGTAATGCTTCTTTTAGAATATAATGCAGATGCTACTGTTGTTAATGGGAGTGGACAGACAGCAAAAGAAGTCACTTTTGACAAAGAAATCAGAAACATGCTTGAAGGTAAACATTATGGATCTTAATATAAACAGCATTTATTTTAGCAATTGGCAAGGTAAAAAATGTATGTAGATAGCTTCTGGGATACCCAAGTAGATGACACTGAGCTTATGCTCTAATGATAAGGTAATCTTGGAGTCTTTGATTAGCCACAAAATTAGGAGTTTCCTCACACCCTCAAACTAAAACATTTTTAAAATTTGCCATTATGTTGTATGATCAAACCTTTAACAAAATAAAGCGTAGAAAAGGAGAAACCTGAGTAGGAATATGGCTAGTGAGCTGCAGAAGCCTCATAATGAAGGAATACAGAAGTGCAGGCTAGAGAAGGAGGTGCAGCTAGCAGGGAAGACCATCTGGCTGGCTCCATTGTCCTGAGGATGTCACTGTAGGACAGCAGCCAACAGTAATTTCTTGATGGATCAGCATCATTGTTAGGAACTTCAGGTATTAAATTGTGTTAAAGAAGATAGGAGTCTGCAATAACTTGGAACAGTTTTTCTAAGAACAAAACAAACATTATGATGCTTATGTTGGGAGACTCATGTGTTAGGCCATCCTCTGAATGGCCACGACTTTGCTATAATTACTACTATTATTATTTTTTTTTTTTGGTAGTATTTCTATGCTAGAGAAGAGATTTCTTAATTTCTACTTTATAATAGAAAGCACATATCTTGTGTTTCTTTGCTTTGTAATTCGGAGAAAGGCAAGTTAATTTTGTATTTAAAGGGTATTTCTTAATTAGTATTTTTTAGCTATGTAAAAACCAGTATCTTTTTACTGCTTTCCAGTTCCTGAAAACTAAAATGTTCTCTTGTTTTCCAGTTCAAATAATGTCTGCTTGTTCAGAATCCTTAGTTCACTGTCTTAACTCACTCTTGCTTTTGTAATAAAACCCTTCCATTTAAAATGAACAAGCATATCAACATAAAACATCTTCTGTAAGGCTCTATATTATGTGATTTGGGGGAGATTGCACATATTACATGTGATCCCTGCCCTTTAATATATTGTGATCTGAGAGGACGAGGTCCTTTTCTTGACTGTGTCCTGTCATCTTATTATTTTTTTAAGCAATCTCTTTGTTCAACATAGGGCTTAAATTCATGACCTTGAGATTAAGAATTGCATGTTCAACCCACTGAGCCAGCCAAGTGCCCCTGTCGTGTTAATTGTAACAAGACAAGAACCTGGAACTGAGGTTCTCCTATCAGAGTGGAATGTTAGTCTGACAAGTTGCCATTTGATGGGGCCAATCATAAAGACCTGTTTTACTGCCTCCCCAAATCCAGAACTGATAAGGACAAGGGCCTAGTTGACTTATGGACATTATGATTTGTCAGCTAATAAAGTGCTGCCAGCCTGGGAAATGGAAGTAGAAACTTAATTGATTCTTCTCTGATGAGATCACATTAGCCAGACAGAATTTGTGCATATAGCCTCAAATGGGCCAGACTTCAGGGAGTGCATCTAACTTCGAAGACTATAAGTAGAACAGGAACCACATGGTAGGATAATACATTAGAGATAGGAAATAGTACAACCAAATCATACTTACGTATATAAAGAACTGTTACATTGTGGTCTTATTTGCGCCAGACCAGAGCCAGGTTGACTAAGTTGGTGGAGTGCCAGGAGTTATCTTTTGGTCCTGTGCATGTAATAATGGCTTGGGTTGCATTTCAAGGTATAGTGAGTTCGCATGATTAGTTACTTGGACAAGGGTAGATTACTACTTGTCAGGCACTAAAGAGGAATACCTTCTTCTACATACCATTTGTCTTTCATTTTATTTTGAAAAGTTTCTAACCTATGGGAAAGTTTCAAGAATAGGACATGAACATGTCCTCTATTTAGATTCACCAGTCACATCCTTTTATATGTTATTTAATGTTATTTACTAATTTTAGTTTTTTTGCAGAATTGTTTATAATTTATAGTCACTAATTCTTTAGCTCTAAATATTTCAGTGTGTATCCTTTAAGAACAAGGATATCTTGTTATATAATCACACTAAAATGATCAATTTCAGAAAAATATTATTACAGAATAATATAATACATATAATTTATATTCAGATTTTTGTCAGTTGCCCGAATGTTCCTTGTAGAATTTCCCCTTCAATCCATAATCCAATCCAGAATCTCATTGTGTTGTCACATTACTTTAGTGCCCTTTATCTAGAATAATTCCTTAGCTTTTGTCTGTCATGATCTTGACCATTTTGAAGAAGGCGGGTCGTAGAATTATTTGTAGATGTTTGTTTTTGTTTTTGTTCCATTTTGGTTTTTTTGCTTTTCATATAATTAGATTCAGGATACGGGTTTATGGCAGGAATGGAGAGGTTGTATCTTTCACCAGTGCTTCACAGTAGGAGAATACATGATGTCATTTTGTTCTGTTACTGGTAATGTTATTTCTGATAACTCAGTGGTCCACGGTAAAGGTACTGCCCCTCCTTTGTAAGTAATAATCTGTGGGGAGAAAATATAAATTTCCTGTTTACCAATAATCTTTTTATTTTTTTGACCAATATTTTGATCAGTCATTTTAACATTCATAATTTCTGCCTTAGATCATTTATTACTATGGAGATTGCAAAATGGTGATTGCCTGTTGTTAATGAAGTACGTTTGCTAGGTTCTTGCCTGCATTTCAAGTATATTAAATGCATATGCACAGGTTAGGGTTTGGGTGCCTTCCTCTGAGGTGGAAGAGGGAGTCTGGGTGTGGAAATAAAAATGTGAGAATAGGAGATGATGGTACATTGGGAATGTTAGTTATTTCTTAAAACTAAACTAGTTCCAGTTATTGCTGTGTTTAAGATTGCAATCACAGTGTTGTCCCAGTCACTTGGTTCCCCAACCAGTGTTTTTGTCCATGACTTGACTTCAGCTAGGAAGACCTGAGAAATCTTTTATAGTTTTACTCCCTTGAAGCCTTTGCACAGGATTTTGTGACATGTTTTAAATGAGATGATTGAGCCTTTTTATAAGATTGCTGCTTTTTTTTTTATAAGCCAGAACAGAATAAAACCTATCAAAAAGAGACCTTATTGCATATTCCAGTCTCTTAAATTGGATTGCCGGTTGCTCTCTTTCCCTGTAAGTGTAATTTAAGAAGCACAGTAGTGATGAGAGCATGGTCTCTAGAACCAGCCTGCCCAGGTTCAAATAAATCCCAGCTCCTCCATTTCCAGCTGTATGACCTTGGTTTAATTCCTTAACTTCAGACACCTGGGTAGCTTCAGTTGTGATCCTGGAGTCCTGGGATTGAGTTGCATGGGTCTCCCCACAGGGAGCCTGCTTCTCCCTAGGTCTCTGCCTCTCTCTGTGTGTCTCTCATGAATGAATGAATGAATGAATAAATAAAATCTTTAAAAAAAATTCCTTAACTTCTTAGTGCCTCAGTTTCTTCATGTGTACAATCAGGGTAATAGTAACACCTACTTCATAGCATAGTTAGGATTTCATGAGTTAATATATTTTTTTCAAAATTTAATTTTAAAGTATAGTTGACCTACAGTGTTCTGTTAGTTTCAGGTGTACAACATAGTGCTTCGACATAGTGCATATATGTTGCACAGGTGTTCACCATGATAAGTATAGTTATCATCTGTCACCATATAAGGTTACTACAGTAAGGACTGAATTCCATATGCTGTATTTTTTCTTCTCTGTGACTTATTTTATAACCAGAAGTTATTTTTTAAAGTGCTTTGAATAGCACTTGGCATGTAAGTGCTATAGAATTTGTTAAAATGTTATATTAGGTGGAAGTATAGAAGTACATATGAATCTACTTAGTTACACAGCTTGTACATCTTCCTACTGGTGCTATTTCTTACTGTTACTTTTCAGATTCTAAGGTTCTGGAAGGTATGAATGCTAGTCCTCAATGTATCTACCTTTCCAAGGCAGATCTGTAATAGTATTTCAGCATGCAAAAGTAAGTCATAATTATTTGTGATGGGTATTGTAGTAAGATACTTAAAGTCCTCTGAATTGAAAACATAACATCGTCTAAAGCTGAAAGAAGTTGAACTCTGCTATCTGAAATGTAAGGCATTAAGGATAACGATAAAGTCTTTAAATGCATTTGAATTCTAATTCAGAACATTGTGACTTCCCCCCCATTAATGGTTCATTCATATATCTTTGTAATGATTTTGCTAAAGGATTCTAACTGTACTTTCTTTTTGCAGCTGTAGAAAGGACTCAACAAAGAAAGCTTGAAGAAGAACTTTTGGCAGCAGCAAGAGAGGGCAGAACAGCAGAACTCATAGCTCTGGTAAAACAGCAGCAACTATGTGTATTAGTTCTTTACCCTCCAGGAAGATTTTGACTTAATGTTAACTTCATGACTTAGTCCAGTTGTAGGACCAAAATCTAGGAGGTTATAATAGTTATAGTAATAGTAAAAAAATCCTTAAATATCCAAAAACTCTTGGCATAATTATAGCTTAAGCAGGATATATTGTAATGATTATATTTTTCTCTGAATTTCTGATTTAACCCCCACCTCCTACTGAAAACTTGGTGGATTAAGAAACTGATTTTTCAAGGCAGATACTTAATGTAAGGATAATTTTTTTTCCAGATTAAGCCAATTTAAAATCGAAACAAAATATAGGATCCAAAAAAGGAACAAGTTTCTCTAATTTTGATAAGCAGTAATTTCTGAAAGATAAGCTATACTTTTAGAAAGTAACATACATGGAAGGGACAATATTTGGGAATTTTATATCATGTTAGAATAGACTGAAAACTTACCCATTTCTTTTTTTCCTTTTGAAGACCTACTTTCCAGTTTCCATTTTCCACTTAGTCTCATTAAACATGAAACCAAATTTGTTCTAAATTCAAGACTGAAGCATTGCCATTTGCTTTAAAGTTATTTCAGCTCATTTGAAAAGGCCTCTTTGGTTTCCAAGTAAAGTGCCTAAAACATTTTTTAAGCTTTGTGAAATGTAGACTATATAAAGAAGTTTTTGAAGCAGTCAGTTGGGAACAACAAATTCTATAGAACTTTAACATTTAACACACTTAACGTTTATGGTTTTAACTCTTCTGAATGACTGTCTATGGTAGGCCGCTTTGTACTTCTGTCCCAAGTGTGAGTCACAAGACTGGTAGAAGCGAGCACATCTTAGTGAAATCTCAGTGTCCAAGGGTGGGTGGGGTGGCTTTGGTGTAGTGTGTGGTGTCTGTTGTCAGGGGAATGTGGGACCTGAGATCTCCTGGCAACTTGAGGACAAACGTGGAGAGAGATGCGGACTCACTGGTTTAGTGGGCAAGAAGCTCTTGACTTCCTAGAGCTATGGTCTTCATCAGGTCTGTAGTTGGAGCGTCCACCAGATCATTCAGTAACACCTTAATGTGCTTTATAGGAGAAAGTCTATATTTGACATGTAATTCTGCATTGCTTTTTTTTTTCTTCATTTGTTAGCTCAACAGGCCTAATCCTCCTGATGTTAATTGTTCGGATCAGTTAGGAAATACACCCTTGCATTGTGCAGCTTACCGTGCTCATAAGCAGTGTGCCTTAAAACTTCTAAAAAGTGGAGCTGACCCAAATCTGAAGAACAAAAATGGTAAGCATGTCAGTAAAAGCCTTTGTTGGTCATTTTGAAGCTATAAAAATAAGTCAGTGCCATATAAAATTGCTTTGTTTTAGTATCCAGCCTTTGTTAAACTCTATGGCCCTTACTTAATTTTGAAGTCAAGGCATTCACACAAAAGAAAAAAAAATAAACTAATTTCCTTCCTAGTTTGAGTTAACTGTTTAGTAATACCTACTCCATAGAAGGCAGTAGATTAAGATAGAGTTCCACCCTTGAGAGAAAAAAAATACAGTTGATTCTCATTATTTAAGGTAGTTATGTTTTGCCAATTGTTGTGAACAGAGAATTAACGAATACTGAGCCATTCCTCCTAAGGAAAATACAGAGTTAGGTTCCTGAGAGGCTCTGGTCACAACATTTTTATATTGATTAGTACATAACCTTGTTTTGTATGTATTACTATTAATAACATCTTATTTAACATATAATGTTTATTCATGAACGTGGGAGCTTTTGCCAACAGCACTGTCACTCATGCCTGGGCAGAGTTAGTTTGATACATTATATTGTCCATAAAGCACATCGCAGCCCTCTTGTAATTAGGAACACTAGATAACAATTCAATGCCATATTTGGTGGCCAGTTTCAACAGCAAAACAAAAAGCAAAAATATTGAAAACGTGGCATTAGGTAGACTGTGATGGGGAAAGTTGTTTACTGTTTGAGAACTGAAACAAAAAGGCAGAATGTCACCTTGTTCTTTACCACTTTGGACTTGCCTGTGAATGACCAAGAAATTGTAGTAAGTATTGATTTTAGGGTTACAAATTTTAGAAATAAGCACATCTGCAAGTATGGAATGTATAAGTAATGAGTTTCAACTCTACATGCGTGACAGTATCAGAGATGGGATCAGATAACCACAAGAGAAGCTACTACAGGTGTCTTGGGTATTCAGAGGGGGGATCATTGCATTAGTGCTATTACCATTTTTTAGGATGCCTCCCTCTGCCTAGCATCATTAGGACTTGACTTGGCAGTGGTCCACCACAACCCTCTGTTCACCTCCATGATTGCCAAAATTATACTCCATGGTAATTGTTGGCATATGTTACTGCATCCCATGAGACTGGATTCCTAAAGGCAGGGCTAATACTTCACTGTCTGGTTTAGCTGGGACCTACAGTAATGTATAGCATGTGACACCTTCTAAATGTTGCATGTTTGTTAAAGATTTGGGTAATTAGAAATGGCTTCATGAAGGAATAGATACTTAATATGGACTGAAGTCCTTGTAGGATTTAAAAAAAAATCCTCTCTAAATCTCTAACAAAAGGCCCTATCCATATATATTTTTTTCTTTTCAAATATAAACGGATACCTCTGTGGCTCAGTGGTTGAGTGTTTGCCTTTGGCTCAGGGCATCCTGGGTTCCTAGGATCGAATTCTGCATTGGGCTTCCTGCAGGGAGCCTGCTTCTCCCTCTGCCTATGTCTCTGCCACACTCTGTGTTTCTCATGAATAAATAAATAAAATCTTTAAATTCTGGAAAGGGTATTCAAAGCAGAGCGAAGATTATGACAAGGTCATTAAGGTAAAAAATTCAAGTTACATTTAGATGACATCCTCAGTTTAGCACATCTACACACATGAAGAGGAGCACTACTTGGTAATCCTATGCATGCAGATTAGGCTTGCATGGTGGAAAGCCTTATTATATGCCAGATCATTTTACCCCTTAATTTGGAAGTTATCAGGGGACCATGATAAGGAAATAGAGGAGTAGTGGAGAGATAAAATACTTTTTTTTTTTTTAAGTTTTTTAAAAATAAGGACCATATTGACCTGGTCTTAGGTGAGAGGTAGTTAGGGCCTGAACTTTTATTGACCTCAATAGGAGTAGAAAGGAAA